TAAGAAGAAGCATTATAAAGAGCATCATGTTTATAAGCCAGGGTCTTCAGTAAAACATTTTTTCAGAATAATGTGTTAATTATAATATTGTTTGGTGCTCTAATGCCGTTAAGGCGTCAGGGAAAATGGGATCGACGTTTGAGGCACCACGTTTTTACAAGAGGAATGTTGATTTCGAATTTTAGTACTGTCAAACTATCAGAATTTCCGAGATACACACGAATCAGTGATTTGGTGCAATTTACATTATGAAATCCTTTCTTCAGTCAAAATTCGAAAAGTGGGGTCGCGTAAGACAAATATTTTGGCGCGTCAAACCTTTTTGAACAATGAAGAAATTAAATACTAATGTGAGCTTATTTTACTATTACGTTTTTTTCTATTATTACTATTACGTTTACGTAAACAGAATCGGATGCTGTCAATGTTAATTTTGCAGAGAAATTGAAGTGTGACTCCAGGTCTCGGCTTAGTGCAGTATGGGTTTTTATGTCCAATTAAATTAAAGCATCGTAGTTGTACATTTGTTGAATCACATATTAATTATCAACAGCGTGTAGCATGTGGTAACGCACTATTCGGACAGAACAATATTGTTGACATATCCACCACATTGCGGGTTCTGTCACGGATCAGAATTTATTCTTATTAATCGTTTATACATTGTTGAAAATGGTTACGTTGGCTTTGGAGGACTGTCTGCACAACATTATTGTTGTTTCTTGTTTTTTCAGAGAATTTGTGACAGTATTTGAGTGGTTTAAAAGCATTATACAGAGAAACCTGCGCTATGTGGATCCACGGTAGAAATAATGTACAATAATATTTGACCTGCTTTATGCAGCAGTAAAATACTATGATGTCGTCTGCTTTTGCCAGAACCACGACCCATTCTATAAAGAAACGTATTTTCTCTTTAAGTTTGTGGAATGACTAATTTTTTAATACGAAACTATCAGTGGCCGATTTAACGCCACGTTAAACGGCGTTCTATGATGACTTGTTTCTCGAAACGAATGCATGAATTGTCATAAGCTTGCTCAGACTACGTAATATAAGAGCTTTTGGCGAATATGCTAGAACGATTATTTACTCTCTTCTTGCACCGACTGCTTTCAACGATAGCATCAGGCGAATTTTATACTACATAGTTCCAGTCTTTCCCCAGTAATATCATAAAAACCTACGCTTTATCATTCAATAGGAATTCGCAAAATTCAGTTCATCACAATGAAAGAAACCGCTTTAGAACAGAGGCCTTTTGATAAGCCTTTGAAAATTTTTAGGTTTGTACAAAAACCACCACAGTAACTCACGTAAACTCTCAAATTGCTATTATTTATTTCAGTAGCTGAGTCATACAGTCTACGAGGACAAAACCTTTGTTGACTTCACCGACCAAATTGCGAATCCAATCGTAAAAACGGTGACAAGTCCACGAACGGAAGGATGTACGAACCTTATATTGAATTTGGCTAGTTCCTGAGCGGCTGATTTTGTAAAACCGACAACTCCAGCTTTCGATGCAGCGTAATTCGTTTGGCCGATGTTACCCGTTTTACCTGATTTTTCATGCAGAATAAAACAAACATTAACTGAAGGTCACAATGCGCAAGCCAAAACATGTCTGTGCAAAATACATGTTCATGCATAAAGTGTGCAGATGGATTAGAGGCACCTAAATCACCGCGAGAACGTGCTTTCTGCCCTTGAAGTTTGGGCTTCAGACCAGTTTGAAATACAAACTGCGTAATGTGAGATTCTATCCCTCTTTGGCTTTTAGATGCCTTCACATACGGAAGGTATTTTGCTCTCAAATCATATACAGGCGAGTTTCCTTATAGCTGTGTTTAGGATGTATTTGTTTTTAATAAACTATTAATTGTCCATTTTGGGTCAGGTATGATCAATTAAACAATACTATAGGAAGGTGCCCTTTTTCACAAGAGCCAGTCTATACAGAATTGTGATAGCAAGCAAATAGGAGTCGGACAACGGTCGATGTAACGATCCTTCATGCCCAAATTAGAATGTGATCCAACAAGGTAGTTAAGAATGACTTTAAATTACAGAAACTTTTTAAGAATGAGCAGCACTTCAGGGGCCCTGCCGTAGTCTGCTATATGCGATTCTTTTCGCTCACCCATAATTGACGAAATGTTGACAATTGATCCAGGAAGCTGAGCGGCCACCATCTCTTTAGCCCCTTGTTGTGTTACGAGAAAAGTTCCCTGCAAATATTTGCCAATGATTAGTAAGGGACGATTGTATTGTAAGGCACGGCTTAGCCTCTTACTATACTCCCTGTGTATTCTTAAATAATTATGGGCGCTAAAAATTGGTGTAGACTTAAGACACTACGATTAAAGTTAAGTAATTGTTGGGAAAAATTTTCAACCATAAATATGTTCTTTCTGCAAAAACAGTGGTTACTACCAGAGTGTAAGTTACCTTGAGGTTGATCTTGATGACCTCATCAAACATAGTTTCCGTCATGTTAAGCAGAAATCCATCACTAGTAATACCTGCGCAATTGACAATAATATCGGCAGGTCGACTTTGAAGCTCCTTCAATCGTATGAATCCCGACGAAACAGAATGGCTATTAGAGACGTCCATTTCTATAGCTGAATGTTCTCCGTCGTGCGCTAGAATGAGCATTAAAAATATTCATACCACCATCTGTATATGAAAATATATCTATTTTTTTTTCTCGATGGGAATGCATCACATGTCTGTTAGTGGGGCTCACACCGTGAGGTGGAATCAGCCGCATCCCCCGACCAAGAGACAGACCGTCTTTCAAAGGCGCTAAAGGGACACCCGATGGTTGGGTAGCATGTAACTGGTGCGGCACGAAAAGGTTCGTAATCAATCAATATAAAAACCGGCAAACCGGTCATCCTGCAAAACGACCCAGAGCATTGCCGCACGCGCAAGTTCCGTTCTCACTCGCCGCTCTTCGGACACGGCAGCACAGCTAGCCGATTATATCGATTAGATCGTAGAATGCCGTTAGCACTTAGCTTTTTTGAGACCAGCGGCGTGAATCTATCTACCACGATCGTATTTCGGTCAACATTATGGCCACCCTTTTAGCAATGGCCTTGGTTGATCTGGTGATCAGTAGAATTTCTTTGAGAAGACGTCTAATTTGCTTGATATCATCGCCGCTAGTTCGACGGACGCTGAGGATAAGGTCAGTTTTTATTGTTCGGTCCGAAAGATGGCAAGAAACAATCTTGCGTTATATATTTGTGATCATATATAATCTCAGTGGAATGCTATTTTGGAGAATCACTTAACATCTTAATTAAGAATCATTTAATAGGCCTATTTATAAAGAGGTACTATGTCTGGATTAATCTCATTTAAAGCTAAGATTTACGATTTCGATAAATGATAAAGCCACGCAGCGCCAGGAGGATAAATGGTCTCGAGCAATAAGATCAACGACGGTTCATTTCCACATGGAATACGACTGGCTAACGCGTAATCCAGCGAAACTAAAACACTATATCTGCTAGCTCCGAATGCGGCTCTTTCTAAAAAAGTCAATCCTTATATTACTCTTCTTAATTCGGACCATTGACACATATACGTTTTGATCGAGAATCACTTCTTCGGGTGCTGAAAGGAATGACTGCTGGGGGAGGCTGATTTTTGATGTTGCAATTCAATTCCGGTCCTGTTTCATCTGCACACTCTACGAGGGCTAAAACGACCGGTGTAGCAAGCAAAGCGCGTGCCGACTGAATGACAGCGCTGCCTATATTCGCTAGAACCATAAACAAAAGCAGCAACAAATGCCCGATACCTTCAAGCTGCTGTACGGTACGATATCCAATAAATGCGAGAAACACGGAACCTACAAAAAGGCTATACAACTGGCACTACGTCCTGGCAAAGAGTAAGGCGATAGAGAACTTGATCCGGATGATGGTAGAGTAAGAAATCGTCAGATCGTTGTCGATCCTGTGGTGAAGCTTGGTGGTACTAGTAAAGAAGGAGGCCGATAGGTGTAGGTTGTGCATCGATTATAGGGAACTGAACTACAAAACAAAAGACATTTATACCTTAGTGCGTATAAACGATGCGCTAAACGTAGCTATTTCTCGAATCGTACGAAGCTAAGATCCTAGCTATTTTCTTTCCCAGTAAACAAGGGTATTTTCAGTGCCCACTGGACGCAAGAAATATCGAGAAAATAGCATTTACCATGCCCTATAATCTATTTGACTTAAACGAAATGTCTTTTGGGTTATACAATACTCCGGCAACGTTCAAGCTACCAATGGCCAATGTACCTAGTGATCGGTAATGGATATTTTGCCTGGTCCACTTTCATGACGTTTTCGTCTTTTAAAGGAATTTTTCGGAACAGAATTTGCAAGTGCAGGACATGCTCAATTGCACTGGATCAATAAACTTGTTAATAAATATTTAAAGGCCTCATTCCTTGGGGCCAAAAACCTACGAATCCTAAGTACGGCATCTATTTATATCTAAACACGGCATTCGATCAGACTCGGCCAATATAAAAGCAATCAGCCGGTTTCCGACATTGGTGACAAGAAAGCTTTTCCTATGAGACTATTAAATTCGCAAAAACAGCTTTCCCTCTTATTGACTTGCAGAACGCTTCGTCCGTTCGATTTTAAGGTGTGACAGACGCAAAATATAGCTGACTAAAGTTTTCGACGCATGCCGACGCCACACATCCTTTTTCATACCATTGGAATGACTTTATCGTTGTTCAGACAGACATATACTGACAATTAGGTCATAGCCAATGCCATGTGTCACCTTAGGAAGTGCATGATGGCAGACGCGTTGCTGGTCAATTCAGTGGAGAGAAAAAGATTGTTGAAAACAAACCTGCAATATTATATATATATATGTTTTTTTACCTTTTTCGAGAATGTGTTGAGTCCTCTGTGCATCGCTGATATTTCGATCCGCTACAACACACCGGGCGCCCTCTTGTGCAAAGGCAACGCAAACAGCGCGACCGATTCCGGAAGCTCCTCCCGTCACCAACGCTATTCGACCAGCAAGCGACGCTGCGGAGATCGCCATTGTCTGCAATATATACATCATTGTTGTAGTTATACCATCTGCAAGCTTTGTCTCAAGCGGTTTGATAGACTTACGGAACCGTAACCGGCCGATTACGCATCAAATCGGCAGCAATTAAGCAGATAGGGCCGTTATCCGCCTTCTATATTTGACGACATTAATGAAATACTAAGCAGAACAAACTCAATAATGAACGGAAAATACGTTTGATATAATGGCAATTTGATTGTATCAACTGTTCGTCATGACACTATGTATTACTTGCTCTTAGCCACATAGTATTGTTGGCTCAACCCAATTTTCAATCAAAAAGAGATAACAGCAAAATAAGGAATTAGTCTATTTACTGAATACAACCTGGCGCTTAAAGTTTTCCAAGTTTAAGCTACGTCAGTATTATCTAATACGGCTTTGTAATATCTAATTAAGTTGTGCAAATGCATGCAGCAAACTTGAAGACAGCTTTCCACCGTATAAATTGCTACGTAACACTTGTTGGAAACCTTGCGACGAAGTTTTTTCGTCTTGAATTGTATTTTCTACTGGTGCTCCAGGGTAAACACGTGTGAAGCACTCAAGATTAAAACCTTATGATTTCAGCCCTGAGAAGGCAACGATGGTTACGCCTGTCAGTCCTTTTGTGCAAATCAATTATGCGAAAACGAATGTCCCGCTCTTGCTGATGCTGCAATTCAAATGGTTGATGTTCCATGAAAACCTTGTGCATACATAATATTCTCATGTAAACAGAGTCAGGTTTATGATTTTTAACGATTTTATTGATGGACGGACCGTGCATATTTCGCAATTATAGAAAAATTAACACTTCGACAACGTCTGCTTCCTGATAAAACAAAAATCGACAGTGTGATATAAGGTAGCTTTTGTGAATGTGTAGACAAATTAATATAAGCTACTCTTAAAACTCATACACTAGCGCTGATCGAAAAATATAAGACAACGTAGCTTTATTGAAAGATTAAATTATATAATGTATTTAAATGGGCCGTAGGAAGTTCAGCTGCCTAGTAAAACTTCCGAGGAAATTTATCTAAGTTCAACAACAATCTACTAAGCTCCTTCCGTTTGTAAAACGAAGTATCTGTTCTTCTTTTTTTGATCGCGTCGGGAGAGATTCAGGGCGATTCAAAACTGAAACTTACCGAATTTTTTGCCCGACTAAAGAGTTATTTAAAAAATCAGCGTCGGCGGATGAGGAACTGGAAAGATACGTCAGGCAAATAAGACCTGCTCGTTTTTGAAGATGTTACGGTAGTTTTGTAGGATCATAATAAATATGAATAATTTATGTTAAAATTGGAAATACATCTTTGCTGCCTAAATAGGAATTTTTTTTTTCAATAAAGTGTCTTTAGGTACAGAGAACTAATAAAGGGTTAGAGACAGAAAGATCTTTGAAGAAGTACACTTAAATATATTCTCACATTCTTCAAAATTTATTCTATATACGTATATTTTTTTTCTTCTCATTGAGCCTTGACAAAAAAGCTTCCCCGGATCATTCACGCTTATAGGTATCTTGTAAACATAAAAGAAACATAGAAATGTTATTACATATGCTCGCATTGGCCGAAAAATAGACAACATCTCCACTAAAATCTGTTTATTCAGCGTAACTGCCGTTCGTTAAAATCGGGGTTAAACGAGTCACAAATAATTTTTAACAACTTCAAATTCAAGGATTATTTAGTAACCGTAACTATTAGGAAAGTGCTGTTAATGCGTCTAAAACTGTTAATGTCGCCCAAATACAACAAACGTGCATTTTGAGCTAACAGTAGGCTAAAACATCCGAAAATCCAGGATCCAAGAAAGTCGAAAATGTAAATGTTACAAGAAGCTTAGAAAGTCTAAAACAAATAAGCATTGAGACTTAGTCGAGAAATTGAATTCGCGATAGGTACTGTTTGTTTTGGCACCATAAAAATGGCTTTTCGCACGTTCTGATAGAATTTCGAGCCCTTTTAATCAGTGCCTATTGTTAACCTTCCACTTTACCTAATGAAATTATTTCTTATATTCGTCGGAGATCGCATGAAGACTGGCAACAATGTCGACCGCTAATTTTAGCTAACAAATGAGGTTCATTATTTGGGCTCGCTCCCCCACTGGATAATAATTAATCTTTATGCATATTTCGAGGACTGACCTATTAATTCCGCAATGAGTTCGTTGTTTTATCAAACAAATAGCATTCTGCCATTATTAAAAATAATGGCTGAAAGCATGCTTGCTACGATAAACAACCCAATTCGTTTGAGAAATCAATAATCATAACGCGATTATATGCGATACAATGCGACATATTTATTGAGTTATAATTATTTAAACTATTAAATAGCATTCCTACCTTCACATTAGCGCGGAAATGTACATAATTGTATAAACACAGCTACAGTTGTTATATTGTGCATTTAAGAGTGATAGCTGCTTGTATGGTAGCCATGTTACAAGCATAAAAACATTTTAGGTCGTTCGGAGAAACGCCAACGAGACCCACCCTGACTAGACTCCCACTAAGGCAAGTTCTTGACGCTATAGCTGAAAAAAAGGTGATTTCAAGAACTTGCTCGTATAGAGGTAAAAACATAAATCGAAATATAAAATAAAAAAACTGTGTATTTGTACTACACGGTCCAATTATATTATTATATGTATTAATAACAACTGAAATTAGTCAATCCGTGGTAGTTCATTGCTTGCATAATTAATTAGTGATATAACTTTAGTTTCGTTCGGTATTTCTCATTGATATGTTCATTCGCTCAAAGTCAAACTATTGAAAATACTTCACAGAAAAATATTAATCAACATTGCTTGTTTCCAGCCAAAAATAATATGAAAAACGCTGCATACCAACCAAAATTGACCATTGCTTTATGCAGTAATATAAAACAAATCATATTTTAATTCATTTCTATTAAGAGTGTTAAGTAACACATATAGCTTCTCAAAAGCGAATTACGCAAGTTCCACTTCGCATAACTTTTACTGCTATGAGCTTTTGAACTTCCATTACCGCGTGATAATCGACTAGGCAACTTGGGATATTCCTCGGGCTCTATACAATTTCGGTCAATGGGTGGTAATTTCTCGCAGCAGAATTTTTGGACTTTAATTACACGACACGCTTATATTTTTTATTTATTTCTGACCTTTTAACTGTCGGGATGCTCGCGAATATTTGTGACCCTTGGAGAAACGACGAAGCTAGCCCAAGAAAGAATTTTAACTTTTACATCAACAGTGACTACGCTAACAGTATTTTTTCAAATGTTTACTGGATCCAAAAAAACTATCCTACTCCTACTCTTGCAACAAAGGCCAAACAGGTAGTTCGGTGAAGCTAACGTTCTACACCTTCCAAAATGACGGAACGCAGGCAGCCGTTACATATGGTCGTTTAGATAGACTTTACCGTTTATAAATTCATATTGTTATAGGCTGTTTGCATTCTTCTAAACGTTTTGTGCATCAAATGTGAAACTGTATACATTAATTAACACTTGTTCTTAGGATGGAGTAATAACATATTTCAATGTATTGTCGTAGACGAGTTATAAGATAAAAAAATCCCATCCGTTAAATAATGGAATGTTCAAGATTGTTCTCCATGTTTTTAATGACTATGGACATCGCTGTTATCCTCCCAGAATTTTGTAAAGAGAGCCTATCTGGCACCTGCTCAAATATTAACTGCGCAATTTGTAAAGTTCTCATAAAAACATCATCTTAACTAATAAATGATTCAGTGGCTACAATTTAGACACTTACGAGGTGGATTAGAGAAACTATATAGGCTTAGTTCATCTTAAACTTAATTTTAGAATTTCCGAAGGTATTTTCGATGGTTCTTCACAGTTGTCAGTTTAAATATACTTACATGTCTACGGCGAAATCTGATAGGTTCGCCTTTAATACACAACCATTTCCAATATATTATTGTGCCGGGTGACTACATAAAGCAAATGAAAACACAGATCGCAGTTTTGCATAAATTAGGCTAAATTAGTCGTATTTCTTTTAAAGTTAAGGTTAATGTGGTTATGGTGCCTCGAAATACTTGTGGTGTATATGCGTGACTTGCCTGTGAGGCGCGTAATAAATATACATATTTGATAAATATCACTGTATGTCATTGTTTATTAGAAAACTGTACACATTCTTCCGCCTCGTAGTTGTTAATAAAAAAAAAAAGCCGGACCCGGTATGATAATCGTTAATAAGCAGCGTTTCATCAATTCGACATCGACTAATGCCTGTATCGTTTGTGACTCATACATTAAAGTGCTATCTAAAGGAGTCGAGATTGTTCCAGAAGGCTCCAGAGTGTCTGCCGCAGTTTTCCTTACCATTTTAGCCTATCATGCAAAGTCACAGTACCAAGAGTAGCTTAAGGCATATGGCTTTGAAATTTTTCGCCATTGAGATCGTAGGTTTCTTCGAACGCATGAAAATGACCTGTGCTAAATAGTAAACATTCGAGCCGCACAAAACAGCTGAGCACTTATACTTCGTCTTATATCTCAAAGGAAGTCTATGTTAACACTGTGTTGGGTATCTGTTAATCTTACCAAAAAAGGGAGAAGCAAAGTAACTGCATCCACCTATAACGCTGTAAAATGGTCAGTAATAAGGAAGAAATAAACTGATTTCGGGCCCTTCTTGACAGTGGCGAGTTAGTGGTATTCATTATGTTTCACAAAGGTAACAAAAGAGCGATCGAATGCATAGAAAAAAGGTGTTATGTTGTATTGAAAACCCATGTTGACGATAGCGCTGTGACTTATTCAACTAGTAGTATCGAAAGATCATATACTTGATTGGCGAGGTGTACTTGTATGATAAAAGTAGTAACACGCTTGGTATACGAATGTAAAAATAATGATATTATCAGTGTACCTGTAACGTGTACTTACTGATATATATATATATATATATATATATATATATATAACAAGTTGGAAGTAATTATTTTGTTCTATTTTAAAATACTATCATTTAGTTAAATAATCCCGATTTGGATCAAGGAATTTGTGCCATTTTCTGGTGACACCATGGTTTGGTCTCTGAACAGCTCCTAGGCGAAAAATTACAGCAAGTGATATTGGCATATACTTTTAATTAAACTATCTTAAGGAGAGGATTCCATAGAATGTGATGCTGACATCGTCATGCCTGATATCGTTTCTGTTAACTAGTTCCTGTTAAATTTTCAATTGTTGGATGTAATTTTGTTAGTTGTTGACAATAGACGTCCAATCAATCGTTTTGTTATGCGGCAACCAATCGTAATGCACGACTCTTCTCCAATTCCACGAAACACATAGCATCATCTTTTTGGCGTCAGTTTGAGCTTTGTCACAGTTTGTGGAGCACATTGATTGACTCATTTAATTGCGTATTATTGTCGCTTGTTATTCACTTTCGATCACCGATTTAGAAATACTCCGAGTTTACGAGGGAAATACGGTTGAGTAAATTATTTCGTCCCAACATGTCTGGCATCCAACGTCAAGCCTTTTTCGAAGCCACCTCTTTTTAAATAATTTAAAACTGTTTAACGGTAGATGTTCAGCTCTGTTGTGATATCATGACTACATACGTGTCGGTCTTGCTTAATTTTTATCAATTTTTCCTGCAGTTGGTCGATTACTAGAAGAGGCGTATTTCATATAGAAACTTCCAGAACGAAAGCGAGCGGTGGGGCTGTGATGACTAAGCGTTTAATAGTTACGATTGGTTATGCTGAGACACTACGTACTTCGATAAACCATGCGTGTATTGGCTTATGAAGGACAATTGAACTCAGCTCAGCATGCATAGTACTTCAAAAACATGTTGTCTGTGGCACTTTGTTTTCGCATGCTGATCCCTTATTAGCCGACGGTAGCCGATGTGATTGAATATTGTCTGTACGCTACTGCCACGCGTGGAAATCACAAATGGCAGATTATTTACTTACTCGGACGTAAAGATATTAGGAAATGTTAAAAAGGGTAAAGATTGAAATCAGCTCATATTAGCTTGTTTGCATGAAAGAGCGTGGGTTTAGTATAAAAGCCTTTTTCTTTGGTGTCTATACGATCTCTCTGATCTAGATAACCAATTTGGATGCACGCGTTTTTCTATTACGTTGGTGCTAATATTTGTCTTATAAGCACACAATGCCTGCTTGCTACTACTGACTTCACCATTTGCAGTCGTCTTTGCAAATCGTCTAACTGGCGTTCACGTCATGCATATCGACCTCTCTTTACCTTCAAAATCAAAACCCTTGTAAGTTTTGTGTTGTGAGGCTTAAGCCTAAGTCTGCTAAGCCTTGCATTACTATACCGTTATTGTTATTATGATATTATTCGCCTACTTATTTCTTATATAAATAAAGCCTATATAAATAAATATTTGTGTGATAGTCTTCTCTCTTGTAAGCATTGCATTATTATAGCCTATTGTAGCCATCACCCTATTATAGCCTATAGCCTTAACATTATGATAGGCTATAAGTTCGCTATATATGTACGTTATGTAGCCTAAATTATTATAGCTAGCTGTATTTTATGGTACTCGTATTAACATTATGATAGGCTATGTATGCCACATTATCATAGAGGCTATATATGCCGCTGCCACATTATTATAGAGGCTATATATGCCGCCGCCACATTATTATATGCTATATATGCCGCCGCCACATTATTATATGCTATATATGCCGCCGCCACATTATTATATGCTATATATGCCGCCGTATGCTATATATGCCGCCGCCACATTATTATATGCTATATATGTATGTTGTACAGGTATTATGTAGTCATACGCATATTTATCTCGTATAGGTATTTATGTAGTATCTCGTATATCTCGTATGGTATTTATGTAGTATCTCGTTATGTAGTATCTCGTATAGGTATTTATCTAGGCATAGGTATCTAATCTATGTAGGCATACGCATATTATCTGAAATCTAAGCTGAAATCTGGCATATTTATCTCGTATGGTATCTAATCTATGTAGGCATACGCATATTATCTGAAATCTGTAAGCTGAAATCTGGCATATTTGGCATATTTATCTCGTATAGGTATTTATGTAGGCATAGGTATTTAATCTATGTAGGCATACGCATATAATCTGAAATCTGTAAGCCTTATCTGAAATCACGCATATTATCTGAAATCTGTAAGCCAATATCTGAAATCTGTAAGCCTTATCTGAAATCACGCATATTATCTGAAATCTGTAAGCCTTATCTGAAATCTGTGAGCTGAAATCTGTAAGCCTTATCTGAAATCTGTAAGCCTTATCTGAAGTATCTAAATAAAAACAGATTTTTGGTGACAGCTACGTTTATTGTCTACTACGTCGTGTAATCGGGCCCGATTGTTAACGATAAATGACGTATCGACTCATTCGTAAGGCGAATAATAACACGGAGATCTGATTTTTGTATTCCGTAAATTCCACACAGACACCATCTGTCACAACTACCACGGTTACAGAGTGTCCCAGTAAAGCAAAAACGAAAATTTATAGGCGGTTTATTTTAATTGGGACGGGTGCAGTTGCTTTCGGCTGCTCGATAGCTTTTGGTGGGGTTAGAAGCGGTGCAGATATCATTAGCTTCCCGTTGGGTGCAAATTCAGCGTGCAGCCCATTAATATCTGCCGTTTCTGGTACCGTCACCATCCTGCGCACTTCACGCACTGCGTAACTGTGACCATCAGCTGACTTCTGTTCACGACGAGCTTTAAATTCGACATTACGGCCCGAAACGTTCACTTCCACATCCTCCGGGCGGAAAAAATCACCACAGCCGGTAGGCAGTTGGCATTCAATTTGATTTTTGGATGGGTTCGTGCGGAAGGATGGCATAGTATCATACTCCTCAACCGACGGTGAGAAAAGCGCGTCAAATAATCGCGATCGACGCTGCGGGTCGAAAACAACTTGCGGAATTTCAGGCATATCAAAGAACCGGTGCCTAAACAGGTCTTCCTGAAGACGGGATACCTGGTTGTCGAACCATCCTATGATTGACACCGGGCTCGCCATACTAAATGGCGTCCAATGCGCTACGCTGCGATCACCATCGTGGGAGCGGTTGCACGCGCTATCCGACGACATGATGCCACTTCAGTTCAGCTTATCTTCAATGCACCGCGAAGCACACGACTCTGCGAAAACTGCACTCTGCGTTTCGTATCGCCTTGTATTTTCTGACAGAGAAAGACGTCGTATTCGACGCGATCAATCGTTACAGCCAATGCTTCACCGCATCGACGTTACAGAATGACCGCGTCCTTTGCGACCCGCACCTTTATAGTACCAGCGAAGAGAGTTGAGAATGTTCTAGAAAGCTCTGAGTAGTAATAGGCTCTCTGTTGCTTAGGTATACCATTGCTGTGACGTCACAGCCCTGAGAGAGGGCAAAAGCCTCACGCCTCGTATGATTTTTAAATATTCCCGCCAACTTTGGCAACATAAGATTCCTCAGTCTAGTATGCGGTTGGCACAAGGATATGAGCTATATCAGATGATAGATAATTGAATTGCTGGTTAAAAAAGATGCATGCCCGTTGCCCTTCGTCTTAGTTTGCAAATGTAGCCTATGTTAGGCCTGCATTGGTTTCTAGCTAAAACAGAGATAGAGCCATTTTGCCAAATGTAAGATCCAAAATAACTACATCTATTTACTACGCTGTAAAGCCGCAATGAATAGAAAGGAAATAGGCGTACCGCAGATTATTTTCGATGTCTCTGGGGCATCGTGAATTTGTGGTTTCTGGTATATTTGAGAAAGAAGCTTAGAAGATAATGCATGCAAGTTTTAAGTAGCGCTCAAAAGCGGAGAAGGGGAATTTATTTCGGTATTGACAGGCCACGTTGCGAAAAATTGTCGTATCATATTATTGCATATAAGCAACGAAAAAAAACTTGTATAATCTATTCGGCTTGAAGTATTCAAGTATAATGCGTTTCAGTAGCATAATCTAGTTAGCTTACAACCAAGATAATATCTGTAGCATGGCATTGCTTGCTATGACTTAAAATTGTGTAACCGTTTGCCCTACGGGTTTGTTAAATATTATACATTGAACCACTAATTGATTGGTTATCTTTCATAATGCCGCAGCTTACTATAAGTGCGTTCTTCACTGTACAACAGTATGTTATATCAAGTTCAAAATATTCAGAATAGCAATAAGCATAGTCAGCTCATACTGGGTTATTTGAATGGCAAGGTATAAGCTTAGAATCAACCCGAATTGCTATAACGTCTTGTCCAATCCTAACTATTCTATTCTGTAGTTTTCTTATAACTTGTTTAGCGCATAGGACGCCGACTTGGGCGCTCACATTCACTATAGTTTACATCAGCTGTCGGCGCTTATCAGAGGAAGAACTACGTTTCTAACTTGCTTAATGCTATGGCATTTGACGGAGGGCATAGGTCATTTCACAGTCAAGTCATTCATTATTTTGGTTTACAATCGGTTTACGTGTTCGCAGTGAGTCGAATATCTAATAGATTATTTGAGGATGTGATTAGAAAAGGCCTTTTCATAAATGTTCTTCGGAAATCTAGCTTGCAAGAGACTGTGGGACTTCCTACTTTTAGGACTTATGGGCGAAATGTTTTTAAGATTTTTTGTAGCATAACATATCTTAAAAAGTATTTTTTAAATACATAATCTAACGCGCTTCTCTTTGCTTGAGGGGCATTATTAATGTTTTAATGAATCTCGTAAGACTCAAATTTATGTTCACCTGCTGCTAATTACTTACAAGCAAAAATCCTATACATAACAATGCAATTTTTTCCATCATTCCTTTTACTATGTCAGTCTCATTTGCTCCCTAGACAAAATCGCGTTGATTATAATAATTCCTGGAATAGCCTTGATGGCCATATGTAAAAGTAACTTTCTGTAATTACACTTTGTGTCATATTTATGGCAGAAGCACATGGAAAGTCATTGAATAATCAAATGCGAAAGCGAATTCGTTATTGCTGTTTATATGGCCATTATCCCGTCTCCAAGATAATCTCGTCTTGCATAATACGCTCCTAGCAAGACTGTTGAGAGTTTCTAGTTTATAAGACAGAATTTCGGTTTTTATCGAGGACATGCTCACAAACAATGTTACATTTGTTATCGCTTTTTTTTTTTGCGATTATATGATCCAGTGTGGCCTCGAACTTGCAAAATTAGCACGTTTTATCCCGGGCAGCCCTCCTTTGAGCCTTTTAATGAGAGACACATTTCTTTTCGTTTGCTACATTCTAGATGTATTTCTTGTATATTACCTATCAGTCGTTATCGAGCTATATGAGGTTTCGTATCTACAAACCGGAATTTGCTTACAATAAAACAAGGAGCTATGTTTTGCGCGTTGGATGGTAAAGGGCCGATTATTTTTCTTTATGTGTGATTCTGGAGCACACCCATACATTGGCAGCTCATTTCATGAGAGATTTTTACGCTTTCGCCTACCTGTATTGAACCGATTTGCGGATGTTAGTGTAACGTCCGTCTGCTAAAGCTACTTGTTTATTGAGATACACGATAAATCTTGATGAGGACAGTTTTGTTGGATTCATGCACCTCGAGAACTAGGACTGGGGTGAGGAGGGGAGCCGAAATCGCTTTACTGGGTGCAAATTCAGCCTGCAGATGCTTAACGCCAGCATGATCAGGCACACTCACTAGTCTCCACGTAACCATCGGAAGATTTTTGCTGGTGACGCCCTTTTAGCTCTATTTTACGGCCAGACACGTTTACTTCGATGATCTTTAGACGGAGAAAGTAACCGCAGCCGGTAAGCAACTAACACTAAATTTGGTTTGTTGCGTTTGTGTAGGAAGCTGGTTATGCGTGTGTTGCTTATTCATCGTCAGATGACAATAGGGGCGTCAAATAATCGCGAACGACGCTCGGGATCGAAGAAGAGATGAAAAGCATCTGGTATGCCAAAAATGCGTTGCTAAAAGAGATCTTCCTGAAAGCGGGGTATATGGTTGTCGAAGCATCGCATGATTGATGTCGTTATAAGGTTCCGTGCAGAACCGGAGATTTCGCAAGGAGAGCATTGCACAAGACGGCGCTTGTAATTCTAACAGGCACAATATGAACAAATGATGTCGGAGAGCACGACCAGTTTGCTTCAAATCGCGATGCCTCTTTGATAACACACTCAATTCAAGGCCTTCAAAGGCCCAATTTCGCCACTGTTCAAAAACAAATCTTCGATCAAGCAGACAGAGCTATCTGCAAGCAACAGAAGCTCTTAGTGATTACTTACTCTGGTTGCGGGCGTTGTCTTTACGACTTAATCTCGAAAGCCGAAAGTATATTTCACAGGACGTTTTGCCCTTCTTAATCACTCGCCTGGGACATCACCGCACTAATAACTAGCGCACAGCCCTACCGGTCCGTGTTTGGCAACAATGTTTCTATATGGCTGCGGGCAAACAGTTTGAGAATGCTATCGTTAATTAAAAACCTTAATTATTATTATTTTTTTTTAGTTTTTTTTTCAATTTTTTTTTTAATTTTTAAATTTTAAAGTTAATTAAAAATTTGATTAAATATGGCCATTGATTATACAACGGTTGCATTGCAGTAATAGTGATGGTGAGCTCCGATTGTATTTTTGAACTATACTCAAAAACATCAATACCATGAAAACTAGCTTGTTACGTGTATCATGAGGTTTATTGTTGCATCAGCCGGAATTGCCCAACGTCATATAAATCCAATAAGTAAATGCCCTATACATGTCTAAGAAAAACGCTCTATCTAAGAAGCAGCTGAAATCTGTCATTTCTGATACTTAAATTTCCGTCTAATTAAATATCGCATTGTGTTTAACTACGAAAGTGAATGTATGTTTAGTTCGTCCGAGTTCATAACTCATGATTCCACTAGTGAGTGCGTCGTGCTTCAGCATAGGCTTCACATGATCAAACAACTTGCTTACACGTTGTTATGCACTCGTCTAATTATATAAAAAAAAAGAGAAAGTCTGATCTGGGGCAAATAGCATTCAGCACGCCAAATTTCGATCTTCCTTGGAGATGAAAATCATTGTTTCTTAACTGTCTTGGCAACGTTTCTTAAAAGTGTCATTATTCTCAAGGCATGGGCCTGGTGTGACATTCAGATTACCGTGCCCCGTGTGTTAGGGAGTTGGTCCACTCGAGCTAAGATCTTGAACAAATCCACATGAGAAATAAGCTGAGAAATATCTACTGTGACATGTATTCGGATGAACTGTTCGTGTTATTGATTCACTTCAGCAATGGATAATTTATCGTATGCAGCGGATGTCGAGCATCAAATATATATATCCTATTAAACAAGATAATTTATTTCTTACGTACGTATTTGTATTACTCTGAAGGAGATCAAGCTTCTTCTACATAGAGTTAAGTTAAGCCTGGTGTATTGTGCTAGTTTTGTACCGTATCAACTTTTGCCTGACTTTCGCTATACTTCCATTAGATTTGTTGCTCATCTTTTCTAAACCACAGCCATACATTTCTAAGAATTTTCAGGAAAATTTAACACAAGCGGTTAATGGCAATTCCTTTAATTTGATAAAGATTCTCTTGTTTCTCATAATGCTTCTGCCCATTTGAATTGGGCTAGCACCTGTATTCCTACAATATAATATATACGTATGATATTAAAACGCCCATTGAATCGGGGGTTTTTCTAGTGGCCGCGCCATTGTGAATTTACATGACGCGTACGACGATGAAATACCTGACTTTTTGCTATTTTTTCTGGGAGCAAGAAATATTTTTATCATAATTTCAGAATGCATTGATATTCAAATAAAAATAAATAATTCTGGCTGTGCGATTCGATCTGTGCATACCATGTGCATAGTTTACACTGCCATAATTACTTACTGCTCTTGTTCTTGAGTAAGCTTAGTTGATTTATTAATTCATTTTCTAATGACAATTTTTAGGTCAACTGCAAGAAAAATCCCACAGTCTTTTTCCTACAGGACGCTATTACCTTTAATTAACTACTTCTAGCTATCCAAAGCGTTTGTGTAAAAATATAAATTTATGTGTTTAGTTATAAAAACAGTAAACGTGTTTTTTAACTAAAAAACATTTCGTTCCCCACTTACTTGTTGTGTACTTCTATATGCAGCTCGAGAGTGTCTTGCTTGCCTTATCGGTGCACTATAGCGGTATTGTCTTGTAAGGAGAACTTCTCAAATATCCATGTTCCTCTATAGCATTTCGTTGTGGCTAAAACGCTGCCGAAATAGCCCGGGACA